AAAAAAAAAATGTGCTCACTTAAAGTGTTTTTGATCTTTGTGGCTGCTGTAATTGCTGTCAGTTGCATAAGCAGCACCAGTGCAGCGATATTCACACAACCTGCTGCCATCCATCCTGGTGAGTAAAAACAAAGTAGTGATTTTGAAATATCAAATATGTGTGTTAAAGTAAAGAAAACTGTAAGTGAGTGCGTTAAAAAATAGAAGAAACAAATAAAATTAAAAATATTAAAACACTTTTTTCCGGTTAGGTGCTCACTTGCTGTGTGAATTTTCAATTTTTAATCAAGCAGAGATAGAGTTCAGAACATTATCGTATGTTTAAAGCCACAAAAGTCTATAGCTTAGCATTTGAAAATAAGTACAGATTTTTCTATATCCTTAATTTTACGTTTACATTTTTGAACATCATTTCTTTCAATTTTGTTGGGATTTAATTACCTTTCCTTAGTTGATTACAGTTCAATCGCATAAGTACAACAATTAGGTTCGCAGCTTAAGTCTTTGGTTTGTATAAAAGCGATTAATCTACGGTAGCCAAACTATTAAGAAAAGAATACTTAGAAAAATGAGAAATTGCAGAACTGGAAAATTAAAATAAAATTATCAAATAGAAAAAAAGATTATTACAAATCAATTATCCAAGTATATCAAACCTTGCAAATTTTCCATCAAATAAAAAACCTTTTTAACGCTGAACAAAAGCTTAAAAGAAGATTATAAATACAAAAATATTTACATTTTTTTACCGATAAATTATGGTATATGGAAAATCTATAAATTACAGAACACAAAATTTAAAAACCAAAAAATTTCTTATTTTAATTAAAAAGAAAAATTGTGTTGAAAAATAATCTTAAAAAAACTGACATTTACAATTTCTGATAGAAGCATATAAAAATGATATTTATTACTGAACAAAATTCTGAATCAAAAAAATTTTACCTTGATTTAAAAAATGTTATGTTGAAAAATAATCATAGGAAACTGACATTGCCAGCTTTTAATCGATCTAAAAATGTGTTTTCCTTTGAGAAAAATATTTAAAAAACGAAAACTTTTAAGAAAAAAAATGTTTCTTTTCATTTAAAAATGTGTGAAAAATAATCAAAAATATTACATTTACATTATTTCATCGATATAAATATGATTTTTTACGGACTAAAAACATGGAAAAAATTTGAAAAGAAATTATAAAAATTAAAAAAAATTTTGTATGGATTTAAATATACTCGTAAGTACGCGCATATGTATGTACGCTTGATTTTTTATTGGTTTTTGAGATTTCTGCTGTTTCTATATGTTTTTATTATTATTATTTTTTTTAATTTTAAAAGCCATCAACTTTTCCACGCCTTAAGCGGTTTTCCTTGACACACTTGAAAACTTTGAGCCAAGCAAAATTTGCTCACACAACATCACACTTGTGCAGCATCTTCGGCAATCAATACACTTTAAATTATTTCCAAAAAAAATNTTATTCAACGTGACGATGCGCACGAATTCTAGCGCATACTAATAGAAATGCAATCGAAAAAACCAACAAGCGACCTCATTTCAAATGGAACGGAACTGGGCAAACAAAAAGCTAACATTTTTCTGTCGCAATTTCAAAACCATATTAATTTAATTTATGCTCTGTTCGGTGATTCATTTCCAAATGTAGAAACATTTGTGCATACAATTTTTGGTAAAACCAAAAAAATTTGCATTTGACGTCAGTGAATACAAAAAAAAAAATAAAATATTTTAATTTTTTTGGTTGTTTACTATGGCGATTTCTCGTTTCTCCCTTACCTTATGTTTCGCTTGTACTGCTCGCATTATTTGCAGCTGTAGTAGTTGGTCACAGGGCTGACGTCAAAGACTCGCGCCAGCCAAGTGATCAACGATAAGCACGCAAGCAAGAATCGGTAAAACTGCAAAAAAAAACAGTGGACACATTATTTTAAAGCCAGCAGCGCACTTATTTTTCATAAAAAAACCAAAACAAAAAACATGCTATTTTAGTTGGCACTTATTTGCTGGAGAGCAAATGGTTTTTTTTAAATCGCAGTAGCAATATTGGTTCATTAACATATAGCAACAAATAGGTACCGCTGTTCATATCTCTATGTTGTGTTTTTTTCTTTCTTTCGATATTTTTAGTGTTGTTTTATTTTCTTAATTAATTAATTAATTTTTTGTTTTGTTTTTGTTAATCTACATCGGCTTTCGGCTTAGCGGCTAAACACAAACATTCCCCCCATGTAGCTGTGGTGAATAAAATACATACATATTTTTTGTGGCGACAGCGAGACGCCTGCAAGAGCTGAAGGTCGTCTGGCAAGTCTTGTGTTTTTGATAGTTTTTTTTTTTTTATGAATTCCGAAAATATTTCATTGCGTATTTTTATAGCGAGCAGAGGTTGCCCATAAATTTCTAGTTGTTTTTTTTTTTGGAACTTAATCCTCAATTTTGGTTAAAAAAACGTGTATTTTAAATTTAAAATTTTATGTCATTAATTAAACTTAGATTTACCTTTTTTAATATTTTCTGTTTTGTTAATAAATATACTTTTTAATTCTGTGGACTTAAATTTTACAATTTTTTTTAGTTCTTTATTTTGATCAAAATCAATTTTTTGTTTCTACTTTGAAATTTTTACATCCACATAACGTTTTTTATTTTTTTAATTATTTAATTAAAAAAAAAATACCCAAACCGGCAAACGTTTTTAGTGCCAGATAACCAAACGTTGTAAAATCTTCAAACTTTTTTGTGGTGTTTTTTTTTAATTTTTTGTTATTACATAATTTAAAAACCCATTTGTTCTATAGTAATTTTAAAATTGTAATATTGCTATAATTTTTTTGTTAAACTTTTTTCAATTTAACTTAAAAAAATTAAGCATTTTTTAATTTTAGCGTTAAGTATTCTTTAATATTAGGAGAAATATTCTGATCAATAAAAAAATGTTGTAAATTGTTTTATCTCTGATTTAAAAAAAACACACTTTTTGAAATTGTAAAAAAATTAATTCTTTTGTTGAAGGGAATTTTAAAAGTTTACTTAATTTTTTATTTACTTTTTAAGAAACACTTTTTAGAAGACTTTAAATTTTTAATTTTTTTTTAATTTTTATTTTAACAATTAAATTTTGAAAACATTTTTTCAAAATTTATTTCTTTATTTTCTTTAGAATGCTATTTTTAACTTTTTAACTTATATCAGGTTTTAATTATTTGTATTTAAGTATTCTTTTCAATAGAAATTTTTAAACTTGTTAAATTTTTTTTAATGTTTATCGAAATAGTTGAAAACTTTTACTTTTCATTTATCTGCATATTTTGAACCACATTCCTATTTTATTTCAAAAATTACAACTTTTTTCCAGAAGTAAAACTATTTATATTTTTTTGTTAATTGCAAAAAAATGCTCTTGTTGCTAATTCATCACATAAAAACATTTTTTATAGATTTTTGTTTATTCTTCTATATTTTTTTATTTTTTTAACAAATTTTTTAAATTTTTATTAATATATATATTTATATATATTATTTATATTTTTTTTTGAATTGTTTCTTAAATAAGTACACTTTGAAATTGCTCCATTAAATTTCAGTTTCTTCTTTCCTATTTAAAAAATGCAATTTAAACACTTTTTAATCTTTTTATTTAAAAAATTTAACTTTTTTATTACTTTTTCAACGTGGCTTCATTTTCAAGCCATGAAATTCATCGCATACTTTTTATGCTAATTGCGCTTTTTATGCTAAGTGCTCCAAAGAATTTCTTCCTTTATTTGCGTTCTGCCATTTTGGCAAGCATACGTTTCGTGCTTTGTACGCATGCGCAAATTATAAATTTTTTTAAAAATAGCACTGAACTCACACGCCGCTACGGCGTATGTTAACTCTTGGCAACAAGTCAGTCACGTTTTTAGTGTTCTTGGATTTTGTTTTTTGTAAAATTCAATTAACAGTGCTTTGTTTTTAGTAGTATTTTCGATTTAATGAGCGAAGTAGATTTTTTTCCATTTGTCATATTTGCTTGCTGAGTTTTGTTAGCAATTAGGTAAGCAATACGGTTGCTTTTAATGACTAATCAAAACATTTAGCTCATAAAGTAATTATAGTTGGGTTGGTTTTTTTTTGCTGGGACATTAAATTTATTTTTCGTTAGAGATTTTAGTTTTTCAAGGCACACTCTTTTGTCTTTTTAATAAATAAAAAAGTTTTGTGGTTTACATTATTTTTCTTATTATATGCTTATTTTTTCCGCATATAAACAGTTTTTTTTTAATTATAAATTTTTTTAAGTAGCTTTTTAATTTTATCCATTTCATTCAGTTTTTAATTGCTCTTTGTGATTCGTTATATTTTTTCTAATTCTGATTTTTCTACAAATGTTGCCAGTCACAGAAACATTTCCATAAAAGGTATTTCAACAAACATAACATCACTTTGGCTATAAATTTCGCACAATGCCCATAACAGTGAAGACATATTTTATACTAGACGATAGGATAATAAAATAAATTTATTCTATGGCATTAACTGACAATCTTAAGCCATTCAAGCCCCTTAAAAGCAAAGGCTGGTGTGTTTTTATGGAAAACAAGTTCGTAACTTAAGTCTTTTTTTAAAGCATGCAACAAGTTTAATGCTTCAAGATTCTCAAATAAAGAGAATTGTACGTCAAAAATGTTGCTGAGACCATTCTTAAAAGAGGAATAAAGATCTTATTATTGTAAAATTAATGAAGAATCTTAAATGGCAATTTTTTTAATGTTTTTTTCTTTAATTTTTTGTTATTTCATTTCTTTGTTCTGAATTTGAAGCGATAAAAATTTAAAACAAGTTTTGTTAGCCAGAAGTAATTTTCTGCCTTTTTAACGCTTTCAAAGTTAGTAGCCAGGTTTAAGCATACTAAAGTTCGTGCCTTAAGTCTTTTATTTAAGCAAAACAAAATCGTAAAATTTTAATGGAGCGATTATAATTAAGTTGAATAGTAGTTTTAATAGCAGTTTAACGCAATTTAAGTCATAAAATCGTATAGAATTATTTAAGAGAAGCTCATGTTACAGAAACTAAAAAATTTTAAAGAAAAGGCTATGGAAATTATAATCAAATTACTAAATATTAGCATAAACTCGATCAAATTCAGGAGTTTTCAACAGACGCTAAACCTTTTGCAGTTTAGAAAACATCTGTAAAACTATAAACATACAGCTATAGCATTTTTATTTCACAACAAAATTTTGTTGCCTAAAACAACACACGTGTGCTGCTGTTTAGCCATTAAAAAATGAACAATTAAAATTTCACACCAGCCAGTTCGCACCTTAAGTCTTTTGTCCGAACTATTCTAGGCATACTTGCAAGAGTTACAATATGTAGATACACAAACAATTTTTCGCATGCGTGCATTTAATTGTACAGAGCAGCAACCTACAGGTAGCAACTAGGCTGCTAAACTCTTTTGTTTTGCTACATACAACGCCCACGGATACAGTTCTATGTGTACATAGTATGCGGATATATGAAGTAAAAACAAAGTAACACCAAAGGAAGTACTTCCTGCTCAGATACTCAATAAACACATATGTATGTATATTTACATACATACATACATATATGTAATGTCAGAAGCACACATGCACACATAGTACTGGATATGCGCTGCGCCCAATGTCATATAGCTCAGCAGCAGCAGAGACGACATGCAAAATTCGCACGCAAATACATTACACTTTTTTTTTTGTTAAGTCTTTTCCGCTTTTTCCTTATTATAATTACTTCCTCGACGAGTGAGTGCCCGCTTTGCCGGCAACAAAAACAATAGCAGCAACAACAGAGACTGTTGAGAAACAGCAAAAGCCATTGAAGAACACAATAATAATAAATTACAAAGCAATCAATACTTACGCATATATACATTTACACACACACGCACACACATATTTACATATGTACACATACAATTTATGCATATTTATTGCATGAGTAATAAAACAATTTATTAACTTCCGCTTTCTTGCTCTCTCTCTCTCTCTTCTTTTCATGTTTCTTCCTACCCTTTAGCATATCGTGGCAAGTGCTTCGATAAGATCACCCGTCGTGCTATGCTACCCAACAAGGAGTACAAACCGAAGGGCATTTGTGCGGTTATGACATGCGACATCCTCGCACAAACAATCAACATTGAAACCTGCCCGTACGTGGAGATGCCCGGCTGTGAGGAGCTGCCTAGCGATCCCAAATGGTCGTTTCCCAAGTGTTGTCCGCAATTCAAGTGCACAGACTTCAAGACCGGCAAGGAGTTCATTGTGTCGGTGTAAAGGTCAGCAATGTCGCAGCAGCTGCAGCAACAAAATTAAAAACAAAAACAAAACAAAAATACTCAAGCGCCGCACAACGCATGCAAAGGAGATTGTATGGCAGGCAGGCAGGCAGGGAGGGAGTGTATGAGGCGTGTGGCGCAAAAAACGTGATTTTATGCTTTTACTTACCATTTACTACCTTAAACTATAATTAAAACTGAAAAGTACTATTTTTAAATGTGTGAAACGTGAAGCGTGTGTAGAGTGCATGATTGTCGTCATGAAAATTTATTTTGTTTTTTAATTGTTTTTCCTTTTAATTATTTTCATATTTTTGTCTTTGAAAGCTATTCTTTGTCCATTATAAACTTCATTAGCATGTAAGATTATTTATTGACAAAACAAAAAAAAAAATCGAAACAAATCAAATTGTAAATACACGCTTTTCGCCTAATTAATTTATTGTAAAACTATTACGTTTGTGAACATTTTTCTCTTTTTTGAATTGAAAATTAATTAATTACTTTTCTCCATTTCACTTATAATTTATTTCTACTGTATGCATGTATGTATGTAGTGCGTTTAGAATTTACGTGAAGTAAATTCGTCGGCTTGCGTTATTTGCTTGCTTTTTTAGTGATAATGCTAAATGATAATTAGCATAGTATTTATTTATTAAGTTTTGTAAAAAAGTTAAAATAAAAACGTGAAAATAATTTAAAAATAAATTATTGAAAATTAAAATGTTTCTTTTATTAAATATTTCGGAATAAACTTTTACTGCTATATAAGCATTTTTAATGGAGCCTCAAGCCCGTTTTTGTCTTTGGCAAATGGCGAAAACAACAAAGCTCGTTGGGAGATCCTTACTTATTAGACTGTTTTCCAGACTGCAGTGGGGGTAATTCGATGTACTAAGCAAGCACGTCATAGCTGGGTTGAGCTACGTTTTGCTCAATTAACAACAAGTGCCGCTAATTCTCTGTTATTTAGGCATTCATGCTGACCTTCCGAGACATGATTTTATTCTTCAACGACACTACCATTTGTATGTATGTTTTTCTGTAGTGGATATGATGAACCCTGCAAGGATGCATTCAAATTTTTCAGGAAGCCCACAAAAAATGCAACGCGAATTTTAGCAAAACTTCTGCAACAACATATTTAGAAGAAACCTCTGAGGCCAACAGGTTGCAAAAAGTTCTGTCGAAGCCTTCTTCAAGTATGAACTCTACCCAGAAGCTTAACGATGACTGGACATCGTCACTTAATGAAATGCTGAAGATCCTTATCAGCACTCACTTCCCGGTGCGAGGTATATTTTCTGCTTAAAGCGGGCAGGATCGCTCATATAAAACCGAAGTATTTCAGGCCACTAGACCTCTTTTGGTTTTTTCTAAAAACGTCAGAGAGTCTCATTGACGAATGTCTTCGGCGGAAGCAACATTTATTTTCCAAGGGAAAATCCATGGAGATCGCGCTTCGCGAAATCGTTTCGACGATTTAAAAATAATTGGCCAAAAAGGGCTACACGGTGTACGTTGTTGATTCCCACTTTAGGGTGGAGGTGCAGCGGATACTGAAAAAGAGAACTTTTGTATCAGAGCTAGGGGATGGCTCCATAACTAAACATGTGACCGGATGCACTTTCTAAGGGGACGTTCTATTCCCTCTACTCTGGAGTCTAACTGTTACCGCCATACTTCTAAATCTAAATCTAAATCATGGCCAAGAAATCGTAGCCACGTGGAAACATCTGCAGGTCCTGTGAGAGTTATTACAAAATGCACTCAGTCTTGTAAATATCTGGTGTAAAAAAATGCGGACCTAGCGTCAGCCCGACCAAGACCGAGAAGTATAAAATTGCTCTATTCAAACCTCCTACCTTAAACGGAGTAGAACTTACTTTCTCAATCGAGATCAAATAGCTTGGAATTATTCTAGAAAGGAAACTTAACTGGAGTGCTCCAGGAAGCAAATGCCGCATTGTAGGCTTGTAAGATGGCTATAGGAAAAAGAGGGAGAATAAAACCACATAAGTATGTATATTTAGTACACTGAATGCACATAGCTGCAATGAGACGCATCCGTTTCTACCGGTTCACCGTATGATGAACTGAGTTAAATTAGACTTTGCCCAGAGGCAAGGTGAAACGTGTACACAGGACATGTCTATCGCGGGAGCACTACCCACTACTCCCACAGACAAAAAGCTCGGGAAGTTAGATTTAATATAACCGGTGGACCACCGCAGCAAATTTCTAGCAGGATGTAGTGTTGTCAGGTTAAATATAATCCAGCCGTGAAGAGGTCTCACATTCGGACACGCAAAGGTCGTCGAAACATTATCGGATAATCTACAACAACTAGATTGTACTACTCCATTGTTCTCCATAAGAACCCCAGAGAAGAACGAATGGGAAAGTGCCGCAGTCCTATACCCAGGGCATCTAGCTTTACCACCTATTTATCCTTTGTATGCCTGTACAATTACAGCGCTTTCATTTTTAAATGCGTCAAGTCTGTTGCTTGTACGGCTTACAAACTCAATTTCGAGGCTCGATTGACCAGCATGGTTTTATATTTCCTATAACTACTTGAGTATTACAATTTATCGGCTTTTGTTGATTTCTCGTTTTTTGATGTATTTTGCTTATCTTCTATTTTAAAGTGGACTGTATTATATTTTTGTTTATTGTATATTTTATTTTATTACTCCGACAGATATGTATTCATGTTCAAAGATACTACATAGTTGTACAATTATCGAAAGGTAATTCCAAAAAATTACACAACGAAATTTATTCAATCAAACTAAATTTCTTCGAAGCCGCAAAACAGATAAAATGAATTGAAAATTATACTTTTGTAATTCAATACTCATCTAATCAAAGATAGTAATCAGATGAATAAAATAGGAATAAAAGCAACATCATTGGCATGATTTGCCAAAGTAAGCCATTTGCGGTTAAGTCATAGCTTAATCAAGTTATATGTAGGTACATATGTATGTATGTGTGTAGACGAATCAGGCAAATTTTTGATTGAGTCATTTTTATTAATAGTAATAGTCTAATTTTTTGAGATTTTTCTTTTACATTATTCCTTAAAACAAATTCCATACCAAGCGCTCTACTTTCTTAACTTTCAGCTGATGAAATACCTTTAAAATGCGTAATGCCTTGTTTTGTTCACCAAATTGGCGACGATTTTGTTATCTGCTTTAAATAATTCATTAGCTTCCGTTGAAAGCGGCAGTAAAAAAATTACGCAGTTAATTGAAATTAGTTCATAAATACATACTACATACATACATACATACATATGCGATCATGCCAAAATCAGTGAATTTGAGTAACAAAACGCTACGCATAAAAAATAGCTTAATTTGGGTTCACAGTGCATTTAAAAAATTGTTTACAAAAAAACATAATGCCTTGGATAAACTTTTGTTTCTATGTATATGTAATTATGTACATGCAATAACGACACAATTCAAAAATTCAAAAAATAAAAACCCTTACGGCTGTCAATTGGCGCATGACTCTAATCCATGTCTAACCTTTAGTACTTACTTTAGCAAGCCTTACTAGTTACTTTAGTAAAGGTTGCAAATGGACTAGACAAGGATTAGAGAGACAAGAGCCACTTAACAGTAGCAACGATTTTTATTTTATGAATTGTGTTTTTGAATTGAATTTTTCGCGTATATTATTTTTTTTTTTGGTTTTTGTCGCACGGTGTTTTAAGTAGTTTATATGCAAATTGCTTCATCAAAACAAAATTTTTTGGGTAAAATAACATGCTACAAAAATAGACAAAAGTCATTTGACGCAGAAATTGAGAAATGGCTGAAGACTAAAAAATGATCAACATATTTAACTCCAATAAAAGTAACGAAGAAAAAAAAAACAAAAATTAAACAAATATTGCAAAATATTGTTGTTTGGTGCGTATTTTTTGTTTGCATATTTTTCACATTTCGCCTATTTTAAAATTCAAAACAAAAAATAAATACTTATAAGCGCGTAGACATCAATAAATGCATATATAAAAATATGTCAACAACAATAAAACTAAATCTGCATGTGTCAGCTATAGATATCTGTAAATGAGAATACCATTTTTAATATTTTTGTTTTAAGCACTAAATTAAATTATTTAAAATGAACAATCTCAAACCTGTTTGTAAAGTACGAATTATAGGCTCCCTAAAGTTTTAAATATTTCATGTAAAATGCAAATTAAAAAAAAAAAATTAAATGGAGTTATCATTTATTTACCTGGCATCAAAAAAATAAATCACCCTCCTTACCTTAAAATTTTGGGTTGATGCTTCGTGAATAATGATCATAGTCATAAGAATGATCATAGTCATAATAAAAAGCTTTGGTCTCGCGTTGTGGATAAACTCGTAATCAGACTAATTGCGCGTGAGTGAAATACCGTTGGATAGTTGGACCAAGTAAGTATATTTAGTTAATGGAAAATTCAAAGGCACCATTTCAGACGCTTAGCTTTTAGTTTCGTGTCAAACTGATATGTCAATAAATGTCTTAGTATAAGCCCTCCAATGGCCGTTCAAACTTCGAGAGATTTATATCATACGCTCTGCAAATAATACTGGACACCTGCAAACCTTGCGTTTTGGTCGCAACCTTCTGCAGCTTCCGTATCATGGACAGTTGAGTTCCCGTTTAATCGGCGGGAGAGAAATCGGCACTTTCTCTATCAGAATAGTTTCCGACAGACCGTGACGCCGGTATGCCCCGCAACCTAGGACAGATTAACGTCAATGCCAGCATGAAGCAAACCCAGAGCTGCCTTGCCCTTCGTCATACTTTTTGAGTCACTGCTGTGTTGTTGTTCTTGTAGCCGCACTACTAAGCCCCGACTAGTTCGGTTAGTCCACTAATCGTTTTCGTCTACTAACGGTAGGCTGAAGAAACGGACTCTTTCGACGTGTTCGGGTCAAATGGAGAGGGGTGTTAGTTGAGTGGGATTGAGCTGGCATCTGAAGAGGTGGTTGGTGTAGTGTGGGGAACCTCCACGTGCCGGACACTCATAAGGGATATTGGGGTCTAGTCTGGATAGGTAGCTGTGGATATGGCAACAATGTCCAGATCGTAACTGGGCCAGATATACGCGTGTCTTTCTTTACAAGTGGAAGTTCCTAGTTATCGATTGGTGGTGATTGGGCTCCGATCACGGCATTCATAGGTCGGGACCCGTGGTAGGCGGTGACCGACTCCTTACGAATGCCGTTGATACTCGTCGATACCTCGTTCGTCGGGTCCAGTGGCTGATCAATGTATGTCCAGGCCGCGTCCTTTTATACGAAAAGATATCCCCTGATATATCTGGGTAGGTCAGAACCGGCTGTGCGATAGCAGCGCCTTTACCGCAGC